GAGGGAACCACGTAAAAAATCTTGTGTTGCTTTTGATTTAATTTTTCCGCATTAGTTTTTATTCCCATTGATTGATTTACTTGTGGGAAATCACATATTTTCCCTAACAAGGAAGAGGTCGTTGGAGCTGGGTGCCTCATCGGAGCTGGGTGGTTGGCCGGAGAAAGGGAAGGAGTTCTGCAAACCAGTGGCCGGAGACTGCCAGAGTTTGGTTACTTTGGCAACGTGATTAATGGGTAGAATGGTATTAAAAAATAAATAAAAAATAAAAAATTATGATTGGGTGTCTAATCTAATTTTGTATTTTGAATAATTGTCAAGTGAGGTTATTTTAATTTGCACATACAATTTTATTTTCTTTCTTTTGAGATTGTTTTCTTTAACTTGGTTAGGATGTAATTGTCAAGGGTCGGTAAGTGGTCACTGTCAACTGTCATGGTTAATTTGACGATTTGTAATGTGTTGCTAGTCTCTTAGTCAAATGAGCTGACAAGTATAGCGATCCCGATTTTACCTTCATTGTTTAATTGTAATATATGACAACTTTTCAAAGATTATGCATGATTATACTAGATTCATCTCATTAGTAAGATACATGTACATCAATTAGATGGTGACTAATCATTAATACCTAGTTATACAATGTATAGAAGACTAATGCTAATACATTGAATGTGATGGATTTATTATGAATGAATCTTAGAGATGCATTATGTTTCTATTATGAATATGTAGGATACATTAATCTATCTAATGAATTCATTAATATAGAAGATGCATTATGTATCATGAATGTATGAGATACATTAATCAATTTAATGAAGTTCATTGAATGAATAACTTGAGAAGTTTCTCTCTCTAGACTACATCTTCTCTCTATAAATACATCTAGTTCTAGTGATCTTCTACCCTAGTTCATTTGTATTAAGTGTGGAGCTTCCCTTGATCTTCATTTTAATCTGAAAGTTTGGCGATTTGGAGCACTTTGGTTTTTGGCCTTCATCTTCTCCATTTGAGGTAGGGATTTCTTTGTTCTTGTTCATACTCCGTCTTAAGATAGTACATGTGGTAATTTTGTATTGACATGAAAATTCAATATCCGTGTTGGGATTTGTTTGAAAATCATTGAGGGGAACCTAGGGTTGTTGTTTGACAATGGTTTGTTATCATTGACTGTGGTTTGGACTAATTAGAGGAATAAAATTAGCATGTTATTATTGAAAGAAGAGAAAGCTCTAAATTATATTTTGATTTGGTAAAATATAAAAGGGTTTATGGTTGAACAATGTTAGTAAATTTCTATTGTTTAATATGATTGTATGTAGAAGGTGTTAACAGTTAAAGGATTAATTATGGTATTGCGGGTTATTTTTTGAAATGAACGTATTGAATCAAGTTGGGTTATGGCTTAATTATCCATGGAATTGATTTGTAAAATGAAAGAAGAATGTAATTGGTTTTGTGAAAAGGGAAAAGTGTTTTTGGAAATAGTGATGGAACATGTTGACTTGAAAAATTATGAAAGTTGATCTTGAAAATGGTAAATGAAATGTTAACTCTATGTGAGTCTCAGAAATAAATTTTGAGATTGAACTATTGTATCATGGAGTGTTGAATTACAACATTTGGGGGGTTTATATCCTTACCTATCGTACTAGTGTGTTGTGGGTTTAAGGATTGCTTAGTAGAGTTGAGTCTCTTATTAGGTGTACTGAATACATGCATCTAGAGGTTTTGTCCTTGTCATCGGTGGAGGATGACATGTTGTGTTGAATTGTGATGTATGCGTTACACTGTGTTGGGTAAACATTACTTGAATAGTTTATGTGTATGTATTACACTTGTTATTTATGCTTTGTTGTATTGAGAAATTTGTACATGATAATCGCTTATATACATTGTTTTGTGTGGAGGAGATAGGGGATGTACTCCACGGTTTAGGGGAAGATAGGGGATGGACCTCTAAACCGGATTTTGTTTGGGAGGAGATAGGGGATGGACTCCATTAGCACCACTATATGTGTGCTTATTGATATTTGGAAGTGTTTTTACATGTTGTTGAATACAGCACTAAAATGTGTATCATTTGTGAAGTATAGAAGTGTTTTTGGTTGATATTGATACAACACTAAAATGTGTATCATTTGTGAAGTATGGAAGTGTTTTTATCTGAGATTGATACTAGTACTAAAATGTGTATCTATTATGAGGTATGAAATGTTTAAAATGAGTTATTATCTCGCTTATCGCTTGCGTATCCTTAGCTTACTGTGCAATATAGCCGGTAAGCAGAGTTTTAATTGTTATCGTTAGTATATCTAAGTATGTTATGGGTTGCGATGGTTACAGTTTTGAAAGGCCGAGCTGCCTCATTTGTGGATTATATACATGTATGATGATTTGTTATTCCCTTTTATTTAAGGCATGCATGTATTGATATGAATGTATTGGGAACAAACCAAATGCCATTTTGAGATTTTGGAAAGGTGAAGGAAAATAGGGGGGGGCGTATTTTGACATGTTTCTCAAAAAAGGCATTTTGTTGCTAAGTACGGCAGTATGGAAAATGGGGGAAGAGTAATGGGCTTGGTGAAATTATTTTTTTTTCTAAAACTGTTATAGTCATGAAAGTTTGGAAAAATGGGTAATTAAAAGGAAAGAAGGTGAACCGCTTATAGCGTTGAATGAAATGGCTGTTTTCGAGAAAAGTTCATACTTATGTATATTTTGTATAAACTGCCACATTACTATTCTAGTATGAGATTGAACATTCATGATCATAGCTATCTGTAAGTTGTTATTGTTGGAGATCATGTTGAGATCCCTACTGGACTATATGTTCATCCCACGTTGTTGAATCTTTTTCAGGTGATAGCCAGGATGTTCTACAAGGTTGGATCTTTTTATTTGTTGGCCACGGGGCCTCTTTTGTGTTGGTGGAATGCCATTTATGTAAAAGGGTTATACCCTTCTTCTTGACTTTTTAATGATGTAAGCCCAAGGGCAATTTATTTAGTGTTCTCATGTTGTATTTACTTGCATACGAATGAGAGCAATGTTATTCACTTCTACAAGTTGAATATACGAGTTTATTTCCGCATGTTATCTCTGAAATGGAATTAAGTAAATGAAATTGGTAATACTTTGAGTAATAAAAAGTGGGGCGTGACAACAAGTTTGAATACAAACTAATAATTAAATTCATTTCCACGCATATGTTCTGACTTGTATTGTTAGAGTTTGGAAATATTTCTAACATTTCACCAATAATATGTATTCAATTTATGGGGTACATACATTTCATTGTTAGATTATTCTTTATGAGATTAGATATGATAAAGTTATTGATAGGATTATGAGAGATATGTTATTTGAGAGATTTATTTATAAATTCTATTTAGAGAACTTATAGCCCAATAAGTTCACAAAGTATTATTGTATTCCACCCAATTCCATATATTTAGACTTCTATCTCAAGAGATCCTTTTTTCTTAAGAAATTAATAGACGGATAAATAATTGGATATGGGGAGGGAGGTAGTATATTTGGTTAGAATGAGATAAAAAAAAGTTTAATATCCCCAAGGCCACAATACCTACGGTATTACAAAAGTAAAACAAACGTGGATTAAAATAGGTGTGAGAGCCACATGTTCTCCACCTCCCATTTCCCATTTTCTCCTAACCTGGTATTATTTGTCATTTTGTGGAATAATTCCACTTGTATTAATCAATGTCAAAGCTGGCCTCACTTTTTAGCGTCAAGACAAACTTAGGAAATGGGGCCTGCCCTTATACGTAATTTAAAAATATATGTTGATAAAATATTAGTAATTTTCAATTATTTTTATTTTTATTTTTTTTGTACCTACACAAAGTTAGTTTTATATATAAATAATAAAATTACTATTTTTTCACTCATGAAAATCACTTGAAATATTAAGTGAGAAATCTAATTTTAAAAGTATTAGTAAGTAAATCGTTCATAATTTGTTTTTCACAATAATTATTTCTTGAGCAATTTCATATGATTTTTATAGTTGACATAAATCATAGTTATTGAGATTGATGTAAATCATAATTATTGAGATAAATTTTGAATATTTTCGATTTTTACTATTATTAATTTATTCATACTTTTTCCTGATGTAATAGATTGAATTGTAAAATTTAATCAATTTGAACTTGAAAAAAAAATTATTTCTCCAAAAGCAATTGTACGTAGCTGGTATAGTCAAACCATATACTATAAATAATTCATACATTTGGCAAACAACCATTCATCCATTACTTTTAAATAATTCACCAATTCATTTGTCTTTTATTTCTCTTAAATTCTCTAAACCTCCATTTTTAAACTATTAATACTATAATGTAACTAAAATGAAATTGAATTGAATGATACGACCATTCTTTAGTCTTGTTATAGAATGATTATTCCCTTCACAATGGTGAAGGATGATTTCATTTATAATACTTTCTATTATTTTTTAGTGAATCAAACGTGAGGATGGGCGTTATGATTGAATGATTATTCCATTCAACTTCATTTCAATATATCAAACATAACTTAAGATTGAAATAATTAAGCAAACATAACTTAATAAGATTAAAATTATTTCAGAGTCCTATTTTTTAGCGGCCCGAGGCAGCAGCCTTACTTGCCTTGCCTCAGGGTCGGCCCTAATCAATATGATGGGGAAAAAAAATACAGAAATGGTTATTGTATGCTTATGAGCTGATGTTGATTAGAATCTTCTAAGAAACTCCAATATTTAATTACAAAGTCAAGTGTCAGCTTAAAAAATTGGAAATAATGGAACTGTTGAAATCGGAAAACACATAATAAACTATTTTAGTAACATCTCAACTGCTTTATCAAATTTCTCTAGAAGTGATGTGTCATAATCTTATTCTATAGCTGATTTCCAAGTTTTGAATACTATGTTCCTCATTGACCCATATATATTTATTTTTCTTTATAGAAGTAGCAGTATACAATTTCCATTGATATCGTTTGCCAGTTCTCAAGATTGAAGAACATCGTAAATTAGGTGAGGAAAAAGAATACACATGGTGGTGTCATCATGATTTTTGCAAAATGATCATGGGAATCATTCTTTTTGCTATTTCATATTACTTCTCGGCTTTTGTTTTAGCAGATGGCATGCTAAATCAATACCAGCAAATCAATGACAGTGGGGCGTTAGTATCTGCTAGAGGAGATTTCAAGTTAGGCTTCTTCAGTACAAGCAATTTGAGGAGCCGATACTTGGGGATATGGTATAACAATATCCCAGTTCAAACCCTTATTTGGGTGGCAAACAGAGACAGACTGCTTAATGATTCATCGGGTGGTCTAAAGATTGGGGATGATGGAAATTTGATCCTTCTTGACAGTGGAGGAATAGTTGCTTGGTCTGCTGGTATCCAGAATATATCATCAAAACCCACTGTTGCACTGCTCTTAGACTCTGGAAATCTTGTTTTGAGAAGTGAAAATGGTGGGAACACAGAAAGTTATATTTGGCAAAGCTTTGATCATCCTTCAGATACACTGATAGCTGGTATGAAGCTGGGATGGGACTTGAGGGTCGGTTTGGACCGGTATTTGACATCGCGGAAGAGTGCAGATGACCCCTCTCCCGGAGACATCTCTTATCGGTTTGATCTTGATGGTCTTCCACAAGGTGTTATACGTAAAGGGTCAGTTAAGCAGCACCGAACTGGGATATGGAACGGGCTACAGTTTAATGGTGTCGAGCCTCAAAACTCTATCTTCAATACTAATTTCATCGATAATTCAGAGGAGGTGTATTTCAAGTTTGGTCTATATCAACAGATAGTAAGGCTGGTTTTGAATTAATGTAAATCATAAAGCATAATAACGCAGCGGATAAAATATCGGAATCATACCTTGTAGACAAGAACTTCGTGGGTAAATCACGTGCTTCTAAAATCTGATCAATGAACCCAGCAGTGGAGTGATACTACAAAATGAGTATCACCTACACAAGTCACAGTGCAAAATGGCTTGATCGTTGTTTTGTGGGAGAGAGTTAGAGAGAGAGTATGGGAAAAATGGTTATAGGTAAAAATCACATAATGTATATCTGATATACGTATCTCATCTATTAAATATATTATATATAAAATATATTAATCAGATATAACAACCAATATCTATCTATCCATCTATCCATATCTATTGATATGATAGATATAGATATCCTGAATGGTTATCCAAATAAGTTTTGAATTCAAATTCAAACTTACATGAATAAGGTTCAAAAGGTTCAGGTTCAAAAGGTTCAAAGGGTCATGCCACATTGGCGCCCAATTTCTAACATCTCTCACTCGCACATGAGTTGGCATGACACTGCCATATCTCTATCTCAATCTCCCCCAAAAAAGAACAATCTCATACTAGCCAATGCACCGTGCGATTGCTGAGAACACCTGCATGTGGGAGCTCTATACTAGAAACTCAAAATGAGCCAGAATAGAGACATCAACCCAAAAAGAACAGAAATAGTGTCTCATATACCCCAAACCCATGTAATTACACCGGTCCAAAAAACATCTCTAATCCCTAAAAAAGAGCATGTTTGACCCTCTCAATTCTTGTAATATATTCACACTTAATTCGCCTCTCATACAGAGCGATGTGAGTTGCCGGCAGTGAATATACAACAGTGGTGTAATACTAGATGATCTTCCCTTTGCACTCATGCCATTTAGTTTAGGATTGACCGCTTTCCCAGTGATGTCCCTTAAGGCCGAATCATGCATGACCGCAGGCAACATACCAAAGTAGCAGAACATCAACCCCTTACCTTATGACATAGCCAAAAGTCACAAAAGGGTACATAAATGAAAGTCATATCAATAATAACACGTAAGACTCACACGGTGAGGAAACAAGGATCCATTCTCTCACCTTATTATTCGGTCGCCAAGCACATATAGTATGAATACATAATGCTTGAATACATACTACGGTGGAGTAACTCTTCCATAAAGAGTGACGTCATACTCGATACACCGTACAGATATTAGTCTAGTCGCTTTCTAGCACCTAACCCAAATTCTCTATTTGCTCGCATTCCAGGCGCCAAATGAGATCTTGCATCTGGCTAATCATAACAGGCACAACATGGAAAGTGGGTACTAACATCCATGTTTGGTCCTTAACACGACCTCATCTTGGTTATAACCAAGGCAACATGCATAGTGGATTATTTAAGCCTCTATTGGCTCCAAATAAAAATAAACCACTAGTCTCATCCTTGCTCGCTCCCAAGTGCCAAGGGCGATTGCTCGTGTGAGTGAGCCAATCTTGCTTGCTGACATCATCATCTGCTAATCATTATGACACAAAAGCATCCCATCATCTCAAAATAAGTGATCGATTTAAAAAAAAAATTGACCACAGCTTGCGCAATTATAGATTCCAAACATAAGCCTTATCATCACCTCTTGCAATAAGTATATACAACGGAATCCACCATGTGCGCCTCACATGAAGTGATTCAAGATCACTATTCTAGATTCCAAACATAATAAGCCTTATCAGCACCTCTTGCGATAAGTATATACAACGGAATCCACCATGTGCGCCTCACATGAAGTAATTTAAGATCACTACCTCTTGTGCAATAACCTCTCTAAAGATATTTTGGTGACCAATTTGCGTTCATTCTTAATGCGCCCAACTAGCGCAGATACGCCCAACTAGCGCATTAAATCTTACAAGGAGCAAATTAATATGCTACTAGGAAAGCATTTTATCCACAGTCTAATGAGCAAGGTCAATGTCTAAACAACTTAGTTGACCATTTACCAAAGAAAACACTTATCATGCCGAATACGCCCATATAGCATACTTTAGGCTCCCACAACAAAGAAAAAATCAAGGAATATAGGTCATCTGTTTCTCCCAAAGACAATCCGAGGATTTACTCAATAGCTAAGGCTCTGGCTTTTACCGATAGGTAAGTCAATGGGTTTACAATTTTGCATCTAAAATCATTGTAGGATATTCCTTATGTAAGTCATCAAAGACAAAATAGGAATTCTCCCAAAACAATCCCTAAGGATCGTACATCCGAGCATATAAATTACATCACCCATGTCCATCATATCTAAAATGGAGGACTGCCCACCCTAGGTGGCAACAACCTTTTAAATTCCTGGCTCATAATGACTAAGTAAGGAAAAACTTCTTTTTGGACTATTGATCATGCCTCAGTGGTCTTCATCGATCATCGTTGGCCTATCATGGCTTGACGAAATCTAAGAACCACTATTTGGATAACTGTTTTAGGCTGTAAAAGATTTATTGGAACTAGCAACCTTTTTGCGCTCCTAACTTTTCACCATAAAAGCAGAAGGTAAATCCCTACGGATCTACTTATCCAATTCTCTAACGAGAAAGTTGGGTCACAATGTCTACAAATCGATGTTCTGAACTTATGTCAATCATAGCCTAAGTCAAAATAACCTCACTCCCCAGGAGGAAGTCTTCTCATGGTATACACTTTCCTCAATAGTGCGACTTTTCGGTATCTAGCGAGCCTTATGCCTCAACAATGACTATCCAAATTACGCATAACTTTAGAACAGTTTCGCTTCATAATGGAAAGTCAACCAAATTATAGAAATGGTTAATTCTCAAAGACTTTGTCTTAAACTGCGCAACATTGATCCACTTTCTAAAAATAGGGGACTAGAGCCTTAGGCATTATCCTAGGCTCTTTATCATCTTGCGGAGCAATCATGAATGTTTCCCTCTCAATCACCCAGTGATAACGTGGAAAATTTTCACATTCGCTACCACGCAACTAAGAATGTAGAGTATTCTTCTCTAATGGAGTAATCCATTAGTAGGCACATTGCTCCCACTGTCTCTAGGATATTGGAAATTTCTTTCCATTCTCAACTAGGCTACATAAAGCGCTATGCTTAGAATTCTCTATCGTATAGAGTTCCAAAACTCTATTCACGTCACCTTTACTAAGAAAACTTTATGTGACTTAGTTACACTACCACAAAGTTGCTTACCTATATGCACATAACCCGGAGGGTTTGCATGACACATAAGACTCACACGGTAAGGAAGCAGGGATCCATTCTCTCACCTCATTACTCGGTCGCCAAGCACATATAGTATGAATACATGCTACGGTGGAGTAACTCTTCCATAAAGAGTGATGTCATACTTGACACACCGTACAGATATTAGTCTAGTCGCTTTCTAGCCCCCTAACTTGAATTCTCTATTTGCCCGCCTTTAGGCGCCAAATGAGATATCGCATCTGGCTAATCATAACAAACACAACATGGAAAGTAGGTACTAATATCCATGTTTGATCCTTAACACGACCTCATCTCGGTTGTAACCAAAGTGACATGCATAGTGGATAATTTAAGCCTTTCTTGGCTCCAAATAAAAATAAACCACTAGTCTCAACCTTGCTCGCTCCCAAGCGCCAAGGGCGATTGCTCGTG